TCTTCGTGAAAGACGAGATCGAGAAGGGGAGACTTGAACTATCCTATTGTCCCACGTCCGAGATGGCAGCTGACTACTTGACAAAGAAGCTCGGAAAACAGAAGTTCGAGTACTGCATGCTGCTGACTGGACAAAGCCACGTCACCAGCAGCGACACTCCAGAAGCGAAGGGGAGTGTTGGGAACAAACCATCTTAAGCGCCTCTGTCGTGTCGAAACACCAAGGCACAGGCGAAGCAGAGCATATCGAGGCACCAGCGAGTCAACCCTCGGAGGTTGAAGTAACTGCTGGAGGTTACGCGAAAGTCAAAGGTCAGCGACCTTTGACTTAACAAATGCAGCGCGACAGCAAGGACACACAAGTGACTCGTTACAGAGCAGTTGCCCGAGTCGCACTGTATCGAGCTGCAACAGCAAAACAGTTTAATAATACCTCTTCGTATTCCCTGTACTCTTATATAAAACTTTGTACTTGCTTGTTTTAATCAACTTACTTTGCCCTCACATACCAAAGCAAGGTGGTTCAAGGACTTCATCTAGACGCTTCCGCTACTACATCACTCTACTCAGAGTTTAACCCTACCAAAGATCCTAAGGGGCACTCAGCCCAACAATAACAACCTATCCCCATGACAAAAAAAGCAGAATAAACACCAATCCACCCATCACCACTCGTCTGTAATCCCCCTAACAGCATAGAACGTCCCAGACGCAGCAGCCAGCAAACCAACCAGGAACAACCCCATCACCCCCACCACCTCCCCCCACCCTAATCTCCCCTCTTCCCTCCATGGCCCACCCATAAGCTTCACATAACACGCGCACGGGAGCATGACAGAAATGGAAAGAGACAGGAAGCTTCCGATGAACGCCATCACGAGCCCGAAAAACGGGACGGAGAGAGCTACGGCAACTGCGCCGGCCACTAGTGCCGTCCGGAGGGCTGTGGCCGATGCTATGTGCTGCCACGAATCCACACCCGTACCCATGTCTATACCCTTGCCCATGCCCGTGTCCGAGCCTGCTTCCAATCCCGTGCCTGTTTCCGTGCCTGTTCCTGAGCCTGTGCCTCGGCTGCCTCCTTCTATGACGTCAGCATCACCTTCAGCAGACTCACCCCCCTCTTGGGTAGAGTGAGAATGCGAGTCAGAGTGAGGGAGTGGATGGGGGTGGGCAGTGGGGAGGGTTTCTTCTAAAGCCAGAGCAATCGGCAGCAGGGTAAGCGCGAACTTAGTGAAGGGATTCACCACTGTAGTCCAAACCACCGCCTTGGAAGCACTAAGTGCCGGCGGCAAGTTAAGCGTGATCTGAGATTGCACAGACGCCCCGAACATGGCGTACCCCATAAGAGCCATCCCGCCATAAAGCAGAGTGCACGCCACAAAACTCACGAGCATAACCGGCGTGAAATGGTCCGGTTTTTTCATCGATCGGTAAATATTCGGGACGACCGCGTGCCCAGAGAAACAGAATCCGAATAAACCGGCTGCTGCTGGTAACCCCATGGGTTTGAACCATTCCGTGGTGCTGCTGATTCCACCTGGAATATCCCCGATATGGTCAACCTCTTTAAGCCATCCCACGCCGAACACTAAAAGTAGGGACGCCAGTACACCTCCTGCTGAGATGTATGCGAGAAGGCTCAGGTCTCTTAGCCAGACGGTGGGGAGGACTAATAACGCGGATAGAATGACGTAGAACTGCTTCGGTTCTAGGCATAGGTTGCCTGCTCCTGTAGCTAACGAAACTGCCTCTAAAGCTGGTTCTATCCCCCTCGCAACTGCTGATGCCAATGCTGCTGCTGCTCCCAAGATCCCTTCTCCTTGCCCCTCTCCTCCTACCCCTCCCACTCCTCCTCCTCGTGCTATTCCTTCTAGAAACCACGCTCCACCGCTCTCCACCACTCCACTGCTCCCCTTTCCAACCAGGCACCCCGGAAGCAGACAAATATCGCCGGATGGGAACAGATGCGCCAGATTGTCCCCTTCTAGAATCAACAGCTCTACAGTCACGGCGTACAGTTCGAAGTAGAGCAGAAACGCGGTAAGCCACCGCCCCGCGCGCCCGAACGCCGCCTCCCCGATGTCCGGGTACGAGCGGATGGGGCGCGGCGCGCGCACGATGCGGGGGGACGCGCAGGCGGAGGCGCGCGCGGAGGCGGCGGGGTCGTCCGCGAATGAGCGAAGCGACGAATCGGACGGAAACGCGGAGGCTGATGATGATGGTCGGAAGTCCATGCATCGGCGCAGCAGGATGGCGGTGTAGCAGCAGGCGGCGGCGAAGAAGAGCAGCACGAGGAGACCCAGCCAGCCCGCTTGCGCCGTGGCGTATGGCGTTGAGAGAATGCCGATGCCTGTGGGGGAGGGAAGGGCACGGCGGGGGGAAGGGGGTAGGGGGGTGGGGGGAGGGATGAGGGTAGGGGAAGACGAGGGAACGTAAAGAGGACTAGGAAGCTGCGTTCGCGACTAGGCGTCTTTCTGGCCCTAATTTGTGTTGTTCTCTTTTCTGACTTTGTCTTCTCTTTATTTTTTCTGGCCCTTTTTAATTAAAAAAAGTCGCCCTAAATATACAAATTTGCAACAAGCCACTCACCTGCGAGAACATTGATGCCGTTAAATACGCTGTCGATAAACCCGCTGTTCCCCCTATGTTCGATCCGCCGATACTCCTCCTCGCCTCGTATTCCCTTTGCCCGCTCCGCTTCTCCCGCGCCGCCAACCCCGCCCGCGGCGCCTTCAACATCCTTCCCATAAAAGGTGTCTGAATCCGAGTCGCCTCTTCCCGCGGCCGCTTTATCGCCCAGCAAGGGAGCTTCGAGACCCTCTTGCGTCTTGTACACGATGGATCCGAACCGCGAGTTTCCTCGCGACTCGGTGACTTTTCGCATTTGAGGCTCGCCGCTTGGAAGCGGACGGTAGCGTTCTGAGTCGACTGTGACTGTATCGAGCGTGACTGCGACGGATTCAGAAGACTCCATTCTCGTATCCCTGCCAAAGCACGAGGGCTGCTGGAGGTGTGGGGGCATTGTAGAGAGAAACGCGTCCGCGCCAGCTGTGCCGGCTGTTCTTTCTGTTATATTTTCACGCGCCGTGAAGCAATTGAAGATAAACCTTAATCACGCAACCTCTGTGTAAACCCCTGGTCTATCCCCAAGTTCCCTGTTACACCGTGTATGCTTCTCCTCTCGCACGAAATCACTTGAACAAGCTTAGAGAAAAGCAAGCCTGTGATGGCAAAGACAGCTAGCTTCTCAGGTACGCTACAGCGAACAGGTGGTTGTATCAGCGGCGAACGCGTGAACAAGCGATCAAGCTTTTAATTGACAAAATTAGATTGTAACTCAAACTGATAGGAACTGTCGTGCCTGACGAATAAAAGACGAATATACAAGTCTCGAGAACAACGCGCGGGAAATTCGGGAACTAGAATCTTGATGTGAACACTAGCGCCTCCTGTCAGTGCTGACGTAACACCTTCGTTACACCCGTGTTTCCAGAAAATACGTCTTTTGAAGTGACATGGACAAGCTAGATGTTGACGCGTAGCACATCAGCATCTTGCTTGTGCTTTCTGAGAGGTCCACGGTGGAATCCGTGAGACGAGAGCGCCGAATGCAATGGTCTTCCAGAACCCAGGGATGCTCGCGATCTGGCCTGTCCAGCATTGCAAAGAATTTTCTGAACGAATCACGAGAAATGCGTGAAATCAAATCAACCCCTCTTGCTTCCACCAGTCACGAGTGTGCCAGTCACACGCCTCGAAATTGGATAATTCTGGCCCTTGAGGACGTGGGAGGGGTGCGGGAAAACGGGGAGGTTTGACGAACAGTTCGGCATACTCGGAAATAGCTGCATCGTTTTGAATTCGCTCGCTGGACATTTGCAAAATGTACAACCTCGCACAATATGGAACGTGCTATGATTCTACGACCAAGGCACGGTAAGTTATTTAGGGGTAAATACCAGGATGTGCGTACATCCTTCCAAGTTCCCCTAACGCGTCGACCAACTTCGGACCGTCGCGTCAAGCCCCGCCGCCGTTGCCGGTCGTCGACCTGCAGCCGTCAGATCAGCCGGCTAGAATGGCTGAAGTGCAGGAGCTAGTTGGCTTCTTACTCTCGCCGCGACCAGAGGTACCCGTCTATCTCCAGAGCATAGTCTACTTAGTCTTATCACTTGATCATGACTTTCGGGACAAATCAAGCTTCACCGTCTCGCTCTCGCCGCGATCAGTGTTTCCTTTTATCATTCCGTCGTATTTACTTTCGCATCCTGGCCATGTCCATGCCGGGTGAACAGAGCGAATTCGTAGACGGCCGGTCCCTTCTTCCCATGCCTGCCGTGATGTAACGAAGCCATTATCCCGAGCAGTACGTCAATTCCACTCGCCCGATTAGCTCTCGATCATTTCCCCGCTTCCAAAATCTAGACCCGGAACCCGTTCGATCCCCCTTAAACCCTTCCGATCCCCTCTTCATGTCCGTCCTTAACCCCTGGTTTGTAACCACGTTACCTTGTCGCGAACACAACAGGCGACACAGCTCGTGATACGCATTTAAAACACCCTATTACCACAATCCAACACATCCAGGTGCAGCACATGGCAGTGGGCATCGTAGCTGGCCTCACGTGCTCAGATGAAGGTCTCAGCAAACTGTTACTAATTCCGTAACCTCTGTCGTTGCTCTCTCTCTCTCCCCTTATCCCCCCATCCCCACCTGCCATCCCAGGTGCAGCGCATGGCAGTGGGAAATGTAGGTGGCCTCACAGGCTCAGACGAGGGTCTCAGCAAACTGCTACCTCTTCTGTAACCTCCTCTCTTACCCCCACCCACTCACCCCGCCATCCCAGGTGCAGCGCATGACAGTGGGCATAGTGGCGGGCCTGACTGGCTCAGACGAGGGTCTCAGCAAACTGCTACCGATTCTGTCATGCTTCTGTCCCTTTTCCCTCTCTTCCCCCTAATCCGCCATCCACTCATCATCCATCCCAGGTGCAGCGCATGGCAGTGGGCATAGTGGCGGGCCTCACTGGCTCAGACGAGGGTCTCGGCAAACTGTTACCAGAGGCTGACGTCATCGCCGCTGCCCTGCTGCCGCTGCTCTCAGCCAATAAGGTGCAGCCTACGTTCCACCTCACTCTCTTCCCTACGGTTTCTCACCCACCCCCACCTCTATCTCCACGCATGCTGCCTGTCGCTCAGCAGGCCCTTGTGAGCCTTGTTCCCACCCACCAGCAGCACAAACGTTTGCTACATTCTCAGCCTTGCTGTACCACCAGCAACCCCTTGGTCTCTCTAACACTTCCTTCCCCCCTCTCTCACACCATCACTCCCCCTCCACCTGCTTCCCTCAGGAAGCAGCCTGTCGCTCAGGCCCTTGTGAGCCTTGTTCCCACCCACCAGCAACCCTGGTCTCTCCAACACTCTTCCCGCCCCCCCTCTCTCACTCCATTCCTCCCCCTCCACCCACTTCCTTCAGGAAATCTCCCTGCCATCCGCTCAAGCCCTGGTGAGCCTATCTCAGCACAGTATAGCAACCGTTGCAACGACTTCTCCCGCAATTCTCCTCTCACCACCCTCCCTCCCTCCCGCCCCACACCTCCCCAATTCAGGAAATCTCCCTGCCATCCGCTCAAGCCCGGTTGAACCTAGCTCAGCATGACGAGGCACCACCAGCAGCAACCCCTTGTTCTCTTTGATTTCCCCTCTTTCCCCTTTTCCACCCTTCCTCAATTCAGGAAATCTCCCTGCCATCCGCTCAAGCTTTGGTGAACCTGTCCCAGCACGATGTGGCAGCAAAGGCTGTGATTAAAGCGAGGGGGGTGGAGACAGCAGGGGGGATGGCCGTGGGTCGAGGGGGAGCAGGAGGGGGAGGGGGAGGGGGGAAGGGGAAGAATGCAGGGTTGATGGTGATGCTGCTGGCGAATCTGACTCAGCTGGACGAAGGAGCAGAGAAGCTTCTTGAGGTAAGAGCTGTGGGGATTCGATGGGGGATAGGCAGAACAGGCGGGGGAGCAGCAGGGGGAGGGGCAGGGGGGGGAGTTGGGAAGGGGAAGAATGCGGGTTGACGGTGATGCTGTTTGAGTCGACTCAAAAATTGACTCAACACAGTTACTTTTGAGAATTCTCGAAAGTCACTCCAATATAGTTGGGAAGGGGAAGAATGCGGGGTTGACGGTGATGCTGCTGGTGAATCTGACTCAGCCCAGTGGGTCCGTGCCTCTCCTCGCCTCCCTCACAAGGCGATTCGCCACTAAGTTGGATCTTATGTTTTCGGTTCCTTACGTTTTCGGACGATTACGGCAATTTTTACGTTTACGAACGGTCGCCCAGATTCGGCCTTACGTTTACGGTCACCTAAAAACTTTTCTGAGCTGCCCGAGGGAAAAAAACGACCAGAGCATCAAGAAGATTTCCTCCAACCTAGTTCCGTAATTTGATATCTTTTCGACGTCAACCTAGCAGCTCGTTCGCAACCTATCGTGTTTCTCTCTTACTAACCTGGTCAATGCTGAATTTGAAACTTTCACGGCCTTGAAAGGCGTTCCATACGTAGTAAAGTCGCTATTCTAGAAAGGCACATGACAAATTAGTGGTACGATCTGGTACCCGTACACAATCCAATAAAAAGTATCACATTAGTTTTTTTTTCCTGCTCGCCTCATACTTACGTGTAATTTTATGCTTTCGTTTACGTTTACGCTAAATTTCGCGAAATTTACGTTTACGAGACCTCAAAAAACGTAAGAGACCAACTTAGATTCGCCATGAGTGCGGACAGGGAGGAGGGGCAGGAGGACGAGTACGAGCACGTGGCCACCATTCCCCTCGCTATGCTGCTGTGCTGGTTGGAACTTTCCTGGAAAAAATGCATTTGCAACCCGAGGAGCTCCCCATCTCCCCCCCACTCCCTTCCCCCTGTTTCCTCCCCCTCCCTTCGCCCCTTTGAATCCAGCCCAGTGGGTCCGTGCCTCTCCTCGCCTCCCTCACAAGGCGATTCGCCATGAGTGCTGACAGGGAGGAGGGGCAGGAGGACGAGTACGAGCACGTGGCCACCATCCTTTTCCCCTTCCCCTTTTCTCTCTTCGCCCCTTTGAATCCAGCCCAGTGGGTCCGTGCCGCTCCTCGCCTCCCTCACAAGGCGATTCGCTACGAGTGCTGACAGGGAGGAGGGGCAGGAGGACGAGTACGAGCACGTGGCCACCATTCTAGTCAACGCCACTCGGCTGGAAGCTGCCAGGAAGCTGCTCCTGGATCCGGAAAAGAAGCTTCTGAGACAGATCCTGCCTCAGACGTCGTCTCCAAACCGAATCCGCAGTCAAGGAGTGAGTGAGTGAGCTAGAGAGTCTTCATCGATCATTCCTCTTTATCTCATCATTCGTCTGATCTGGGTAAAGAAGCTTCTGAGACAGATCCTGCCTCAGACGTCGTCTCCAATCCGCATCCGCAGTCAAGGAGTGAGTGATTGAGCTAGAGAGTTTTGTGAGGGTTTTTTTTCATCTCATGACTCTTCTGGACTAAGAGTGATGAGGGGTGTGCAAGCTTCTGAGGCAGATCCTGCCTCAGATGTCGTCTCCAAACCGAATCCGCAGCCAAGGGTTAAGTGAGTGATTGAGTGAGTGAGCTAGAGAGTCTTCACCGATCATTCCTCTTTATCTCATAATTTGTCTGATATGGGTAAAGAAGCTTCTGAGACGGATCCTGCCCCAGACGTCCTCTTCAATCCAAATCCACAGCCAAGGAGTGAGGGATTGAGTTAGAGAGCGCATCATTCTCATCATCCCTCTGAATATATCGCTCTCAGTTTCTGAGGCGCCTCAAAAATCCGCAGCCAAGGAGTGAGTGATCGAGCTAGAGAGCGCATCATTCTCATCATCCCTCTGAATATATCCCTCTCGACACTCATAGCAAAGTCCGCTCAGTAAAGAAGCCATAACTTATTGGAAACACTCACCTCGCCCCTCGCCCACCCACTCGTCCCTTTCACCCACCCGTTTGCTCTTACTTCTCCCCTGTCCAGGCCATGGCAACAGTTAGAAATTGCTGTTTTGATGCGAGTTCTGGGGCACTGCCCTCGTTGTTGCTGCTTGCTGACCTGCCCTTTCGCACCCACCATTCCTCCCCCACCCACCCCCTTGCCCCATCAGGCCATGGCAACAGTTAGAAATTGCTGCTTTGATGCGAGTTCAGGGGCCCTGCCCTCGCTGCTGCTCCTTGCTGACCTGCTCTGGCCGTCGCTGCTGCTGCCCCTGGCCGGGACGAGAGTGAGTGAAGTGGGGTGGGGGGGGGGGGGGGGTGTAGAAATCCTCATGAGGCGCCTGAAAAGGGTTGTGTGTCGGAAGTGACAGGCTGGTTGACTGCTACTGGTCTCACGATTTTTGAGACATCTCAATAATAGATATCTATCGATGCTTTTAGACATGCCAAAAAGAAATGTATTCCTTACGATTTTTGTGATGTGACATCTTGAAATCTACCCCATGTTCCCCCTTTTCCTCACTCGCTCCCCATGTGTCTCCCCCCCAGGAATACAGCAAGGAGGACAGGGACCAGATGCCGCCGCCAGAGCTTGCCGTACAGCTCTCATGAACTCATTCCATCTCACACCATCGTCCTCCCTCTGTCTGCCCCGTCGTCACCCCCCTCACGCACTTCCTCCCCTGCCCCCAGGAATACAGCAAGGAGGACAGGGACCAGATGCTGCCGCCAGAGCTGGCAGTACCACCACCTTTCACACACTTTCCTACTCACACAATCTCATGCCCCGACAACTCCGCTCTCTTCCCATGTGTTTACCTCCCAGGTATACAGCAAGGAGGACAGGGACCAGATGCCGCCGCCAGAGCTGGCCATACAGCTCTCATGAACTCATCCCATCTCACACCATTGTCCTCCCTCTGTCTGCCCCGTCGTCACCCCCCTCACGCACTTCCTCCACTCCCCCCAGGTATACAGCAAGGAGGACAGGGACCAGATGCCCCCGCCAGAGCTCGCAGTACCACTGTCCATGGAGCGACCTCCTGTGAGCGATGCCAAGCTCAGGGCCTCTGCCCTCCCCTCTACCCCATGTGTGTGGCTCTGCCCTCCCCTCACCTCCTCCCCTATGTGACTCTCTCCCAGGTATACAGCAAGGAGGACAGGGACCAGATGCCGCCAGAGCTCGCCGTACCGCTGTCCATGGAACGCCCCCCTGTGACAGACGCCAAGCTACGGGCCGATGCTGCTGATGCTCTCTTCCTCATTTCTTCTGAGGTGGGTGTTGTGTTGCTCGACTGTACTGTGTCAATCGTACCCGTTTGACTTTTGAGTCGACTCAAAAGTCACCTCTGTGTTGCTCAAGTGTACTGTCTCAATCGTACCCGTTTCTTTTATCCTTTTCGAAGAAATGACAGACCTCATACAGACTCTCAAGTTCGTTTTGTGTGTGTGTGTGTTTTTCTTTAAGACCGATTCTGCTTGTGTTCGCAGGAGGCTTGCAGAAAAGCTCTGTGGGCTGTGCACGGTGCGAGAATACCCCAACTGACTCACCACCCTATGCGTGCCCCATACCCCACCTGCTTTTCCACCTCTGCTTCCCGTACACCAACATGTGTGCTTCTACAGGAAGCGGGCAGAAAAGCTCTGTGGGCTGTGCACGGCGCGAGAATACTCCAGGTGACTCACTACCCTATGCTCGCCCCACACCCCACCCTCACTTTTCCTCCCCTTCCATTCCCATACCGCTGTTGTTCTTCCTGCATCCTTTTTGCCCTGGATTCTCCTGAATTGCTTCCTCCTCCCAGTAGTGCCTTTTGGTCATCTCAAGGAGTGAGGATGGTGACTCAGTGACCATTACAATGCTTCTCACAGATTTGTGTCTTGGCCTTTCGTCTCCTTCTCCTGCTCTCTTCCGCTCGACCCCCAGTCCTTCCTTTACCTGTGCTCATGCCTTACCATTCTCCTGCTGGTTTTCTCATTCCCTCTTGTTGCCCTTCCTGGGTCCTCTTTCCACCCTTCCCCGTTCTCTAACCTTCTCTTGACATTTCAGGTGGGCTATGAGGATGAGGAGGATCCAACGGTCATGGAGGCCATGGAGAGGGTTGGGTCACTGGTGAGTGGATGGGGATGTGATGTGGTGGTATGGTGGGATAGTGGCAAGATGTGTTCTGTCATGTGGATGATGATCATTCACATGATGTCCTGATGAGGATGAGGATGAAGAGGATCCAACGGTCATGGAGGCCATGGAGAGGGTTGGGTCAATGGTGAGTGGATGGGGTTGAGGGGATATGTTGATGTGGTGTGTTTTGTTGTGTGGATGATGAGCGTGGTCATTGTGATTGTGTTCTTATGATGATGAAGAGGATCCAACGGTCATGGAGGCCATGGAGAGGGTTGGGTCACTGGTGAGTGGATGAGGATGTGGTGATTGCTAATGGCACGTTAATGGTAATGGTTTGATGTTGTTTGGCATGGTGTCATGGTGTGAATGGCATGAAGTTGATAACATAATGTCGATGGGATGATTTTGATGGCATGAAGTACATAGATGGAGGATGTTGATGGCACGGTGTTCATGACAGGGTGTTGATAATGGTTTGATCATCATGCACTTGGGTGCAGGGAATGGTTGGTGCTTGTTTGGAATGTCATTCAGTCTGTGTGGCATGTTGGACTTCATGGCATGGTTGACGACAGTTAGCTTTCCGCGCCCTTTAATTCTGTTTGTTACGACGGTTAGCTTTTTACGCCCCTTAGTTTTGTTTGTTATTCTTATTCAGGCCTTTTCCATCACTGCCTGCTTTTGTGTGTGCAGATGGTTCAGAACAGCTTATCATGAGACAGTTAATAATAGCAGTCTGAATAGGGTGCAGTGTTTAGAACGTCGTGCGGTGTTTAGAATCAGTTTTTACTCATACTACCGTGGGTGCAAATACGGTCGGTCGGCCAAAATGTACAGGGTGCAAATCTATTGTAATCTGTTCTGTGGGCTATGTGAAGGGCTGATTCAACGCTGAATCGGGGTAAAAAGGCTGATATCTGTTGGAAACAATTAACTCTAAGCGCCTCTGTCGTGTCGAAACACCGAGTTAGAAACGAAGCGAAGCATATCGAAGCACTGGCGAGTCAACCCTCGGAGGTTGAGCAGTTGCTGGAGGTTACCGTACGTGAAAGTCAAAGGCCAGCGACCTTTGACCTAACAAGTACAGCGCGACAGCAACGACACACAACTTACTCGTTATAGAGCAGTTGCCCGAGTCGTCACTGTATCGAACCGCAACAGCAACAGTAAAACAGTTGGAACCGTATCTCTTCGTATTCCTTGTACTCTAATATAATATTGTATCTCTTTGCTTTAATCAATCTACTTTGCCCTCACATACTAGCGCAAGGTGGTTCACAACTCTTCATTAAACGCTTCCGCTATTACATCAGTTATACCCAGAGTTCACCCCTGCAAAGATCCTAAGGGCTATTTTTCTCAGCCCAACATGGTTAAGAGCTATTAGGGGGAATTCAACTATCAAAACACCTACAACATCAGAAGACATGGCTACTCAGAAGGAAAGGAGTTCCTCTATTGGTTCTCCCGGCACTACTCCTACTCCACCTCCTGCCTCTGGCCTACAGACAGAGGAGGGTACGGCAACAAGACCCAAGACAACATCCACCGAGACTCCCGCGAATCAACCTGCAGGCTTCGACCAGAGCATGATGGAGAAGTTTTTCTCCTTCATGTCCTTCTACGGCAACACCAGCAATCGGCGCCTGCGTAGTCACACAACAGCAACAACAACGACGTGACTCCAATGAGCCTTGATGGTTCATCCTACGCACGTGGAAATCAACAGCAGCAACCTACCTTTGCTCCATACGAGCCCCAGCGCGGTTCCGTCAGTTTTATGCCACAACCGCAGCCTACACCTGGACAAGAGAAGACACTGGACGCGCTACAAGTTCATTCGCAGTTCGCGCACGTTCTGAAGCTGCAGACGTCAAGACATTTCAACGGAAAGGACTTTTTTACCTGGTCATTCGAGTTCGAGCTGATGATGGAAGGCACGCAAATCCTCGGCTTCTTCGACGGATCCCTGCCATACCCAACAAACGGCACACAGTACGAGAAGCAGCAGTACACCTATCAGTCAATGATGGCGTACACAATCCTACTGAGGAATATCACCCCGACTCAGCAACAGAATATACGGTCTTACCGGGGATACGGCAACTCCGCTGAGCTCGCATACAGCCACTTAAAAAGCCTGTACCAAGCAACAGACAGCGTAAGTCAGAGTCGACTAATGGCGCAACTGACAACAGTCGAAATGAAACTAGGGGAAAAGGGGATGCCGTATATCAGTCGTTGTTGCGAATTGCGCGACAAACTCCTTCGATGCGAAGGGTCGATATCTGAAGACGCCTTCGTGACAGTCATCATTGGCGGCCTCGGTCCTCAATGGCGCGCTACAAAAGCCATTCTCCGAGCTCACGGAAGAATCTCCGAAGCAGCACTTTGCTCTGAAATTCATGCCGAGCAACAAGACATGGATCTGCAAGAAGAAAGGCACAAGAGGAAGACGTCAGCACCGGAATTCGCTTTCCACACTCAGCGACGCTACAACAACAACAACAACCGACAACAACCAAAGCCCGTACCTCCATTCTGCCATCTCTGCAAGACGTCAGGACATCCGCGCACACACTGCCCCAACCGAAAACAGTCAACATCAACGCAGCGGCAACTTCGACCTTCGAGCAGTCAAGTCGCCTCAACGCAAGCAAATCCCACCAATCAAGTACAAGTCTCAACGACATCGACAGGACAATCTGCACAAGGAGCAAGAAACATCGTCAGCTGCATGGCAAGATTGACCGACTCCTGCATCACCGAGTCACCGCCACACTACTTACCGGAAGAACAGCTCGACAACAGTACGCCCCGCCGTGAGTCACTTCAACCGAATCCAACGTATGCGGCTATCGCTCGAAGCGAGCCGTCTGGAAAAGATACTTGGTTCTTGGATAGTTGCTGCGGGCAGCACATGTGTTCTTCGGGACGTTTCGTTCAGCGCGAGCACCAACTTCAACGCGAAGTCGTCATTATCGTCGCCAACAATCACAACCTGCGCACACGACGACGAGGCGTGGTTCAACTTCAGTCAAGGGAGACAAATGTTGTACTGCAGATGTCAAAGGTATTAAACGTGGAGGGACTCGGCTACAACTTACTGAGCGTCAGCCAACTGATGGCGAAGGGCATACACCTTAAAGCAAACAGCACCACCCAAGAATTCAAATTGTACGACGGGAGAGGAGGTATTTACATCAGAAAGGCAATCCTGAAAAATTATGTCTTCGTCCTCGACTTCGTTCCAGATCTCGGCACCGCTGATAGCGACGGGATCGTCACCTTCACCTCCTGGACACATCCACCAAATCTTGACCCCAACTTCAGCCCCAAAGGATTCTGGTACTCACACACCATTCCTTAAGTAGAAAGAACAAGAGCGTTAGCAACAATACAAAATTCGGCAGCAGCAGAGACAACACCGGCAACAGCAGCGACAACACCGACAGCAGCAGAGACAACATCCGCAGTAGCAGAGACAACACCGGCAGCAGCAGAAACAACATCGGCCATAGAAGAGACAACATCGGCAGTAGCAGAGACAACATCGGCAGCAGCAGAGACAACAACAACAGCAGTGGCAACAACGACACCAATCACTGGTCCTTCAACGGCACCAACCTTCACCGACGATACATCACCAACACCCGCGGAGCAGCTAACTCCGACTCAACAAGAAGTCCGCCGAAGCGCCAACTTCACCGCCAGTTTCTACTCCAACTCCGACATGAATCGGCGCTCACCCGGACACCGCGCCACCGAAGGAACCTGGCACGCAAGAATGGGTCACCCAAGCAACACGGTGTTAAATAACACGATAAGAGCAGACGTACTCGACAAAGACTCTCTACTCCTAACTGACGGCAGATAACTTCAGCGAGCCCGTGGAACATGCCTCACCTGTCCCGAAGCTGACCTACCGCATCAACCGTTCGTGCCTCACCACAACCCAAGCGCACCAGCTTACGCGCCACTCGAGAAGGTGTACAGCGATATCCTGTACAACCGCGAACCTGGACAAAACGCGTACAGTTACACCATCACCTTCATCGACGCAGCCACTCGATACGTCTGGCACCTAAATCTCCCAAGCCGCGACATGGCCTTCGAAGCCTTCGTCGCCTGGCTTCCAGTAGCAGAACGAGAATCCGTAGTAAAACTCAAGAGCTTCCAGTCAGACGGAGGGGGAGAATACACCTCACAGAGGTTCAAAGAGTACTTCGCAGAGAGAGGAATCAAGCGAATCATCTCTCTCCCCTACGCCCATCAACAGCAGGGTGTAGCAGAAAGGATGAACAGGACCCTCCATAACACCATGCGCAAGCTGCTACGTGGCATGCACCTGCCCAAACACCAGTGGCCCGAAGCAATGGACCACGCCGTCATGCTGCACAACTTGCTCTCGTCATCATCGCTCCCGAACAACGCATCACCACATCTGCTGTGGACAGGAAAACTGGGCAGCACAAAAATGTTGAGAGTCTTCGGCTGCATGGTACAGTACCGGCCCCCATCTGTACAAGCTGGCCGATTCTCCCAACGCGCACAGTGGGGACTACATCTGGGCATCGAAAAACATTACAACGCATGGAAGATTTTCGACATCGAGACAAAGGAAACAGTAGCAACACGTGATGTCATCTTCTACAAAAACCTCACCCTTCCGACGTACCTTGCCAACCTGGAAGAAGATCACGACCCCACAGGTGGCTTCCGTGGGGACCGAGCCTTCGCCTCGGCCGCAGACGAAGCCGACTGGGATGAGCAGAACGTGGATGCAGTCTCGAAGGAAGCCGGACCTCTCCCCTACTGCTCCGTCGACATGCCAATGGATGACGAAAATCCACGCGAAAGCATCAACGCCGAAACCTATTACCACTTCGCCGACAACGGTTACGTTACACCTGCACAAGTCAACACCAACGAAGCAGAACGTGTAGGACCAAACTTCAACCCTACACCAGAAGAGGGAGACGAAGCAGCTTATCCCGAGGACACATCACTCCCCCGCTACACACACAGTGGCCTCCAGATACTTGGCCTCGTCACCGCGGTCCACGGCACTGCGATTCCTA